CAATCCCCCTCCCTGACCTTGATGGCGGTGATGATGAGCAGGTTCTGCAGGTTGTGGTTGTTGCTGAAGGACGAGTTGTTCAGCACGATCTTCTCCAGCAGCTCGATGAGGGGGGCCTGCAGGTCGGCGCCCATGAAGGCCTTGACCGCCACCGACACCTGTTCCGGGTTCTTGCACTCCGGCAGCGCGGTGGACACCACCTGGTCGATGAGCTGGCGCCGGCTGGCGTTCTCCGGCCCCAGCACGCTCTCCCAGAGGCCGGCGTCGGCGCGCTCCACCACGTACCGCGCCTGCAGCTTGAACATGGCGTGCTTGTTGGTGCAGGCCACCAGCGCCTCGTCGCACTGCCCGCGCTTGTACGCCACGCAGGCCAGGCCCGGGTCGCGGCGCTCGGCGAAGCGCCCCACCACCAGCGAGTCGTAGTAGGGGTTGGTGGTCAGGAAGTGCTCCGGGTTGGTGTTGGCGTCCACGATGATCTTGCCCAGGGCGTCGTGCACGCCAGGGTCGCGCGACCCCTCGCTGACCAGCTGCTCCAGCAGCGGGTTGAGCATCTTCAGCCGGTTGCGCGACTCCACCGCCTCCACCAGCTCGGCCACGGGCACCAGCGAGCGCACGGAGAGGACCAGGTTGGTGATGAAGGCCTCGTCGGCCTCGGCGTCCAGCAGGGCGCCGACCACGGCGGGGGTCTTGGCGGGGGACACCTTCTGCACGTACCCCTCGATGTAGCGCAGCATGGACTTCTTGTAGAGGTACAGCGTGAGGTCGGGGACGAAGCCGTGGCGGTCGCAGACGTTGATGAGGGGCCGCGCGTCGGGCAGGTTGGCCTCCATGAGGAAGGTCTTGACGCGGTCGGGGGGGTAGCAGGAGCTCTCCCGCGTCACGCGCTCCACCTCCTTCACCTGGCCCGTGCGCGCCGCGGCCTCGATGTACTTGTAGTGCACCTCCGGGTCCTCGCTCCCCGCCAGCACGCCGCCCAGGAAGAAGTAGAGGCCGTCCCAGGACCCGGCGGCCTCGAACAGCGCCACGATGCGCGCCACGGTGAGCTGCTCGCTGTACTCGCGCGCGACGCGCACCACCAGCTCCAGGTTGGCCGCCGGGTCGGCCTCCAGCAGCACGCGCAGGCAGTCCAGCGCCCACTCCGCGGACAGCGTGCCAAAGTATTCCACGAGCGCGGCGGGGTCGATGGCGCGCGCGTTGCCCAGCACGCGCTTGATGTCGGCCAGGTCGGTGTAGTGCGCCAGCGCGCGCGCGTACAGGCCCGCCTTCTCGCACAGCTGCGCGACGCGGGGGCGGTCGTAGCGCGTGAGCCCGCCCGCGCCCAGGATGGCGTCGGCCACCGCCGGCGCCGTCACCAGGTTGATCTCCAGCAGCTTGGTCTGCAGCGCGGCGTGGGCGGGCGCGTCGTCGGCCAGCGCGTCCAGCAGGAAGGCGGTGGCCTCCTTGACGGCGTTGCGCTGCAGGAACAGGTCCGCCATGGTGTTGAGGTCCAGGGGCGGGCCGGGCTGACGCGCCACGGCCTTGGCCAGGCCCACCGCCGCCTCCGGCGAGTCGCGGAGCAGGCTCTGCAGCAGGAAGAGGTAGTCAGGCTGGGAGCCGGTGGTGGCCGCATAGCGCCCCAGCTCCTCAAAGTCGCCCTTGGCCGCCAGGGCCTCCACCACCTTGCCCTGCGCCCCCGCGGCGCGGTACACGGCCAGCGCCGCGTCCCAGTCGCCCGCGCCGCGGAAGAGGTCGCCCAGCTCCTCGCTCGCGGACAGCTTGCCGTCGCGCCACCAGCCGTCCAGCAGCGGCTTCTTGCCCTGGGCCAGCACCAGGCGTCCCAGCTCCACGCTCTCGTACGCGTTCAGCGCCTCGCGCGCCAGCACCGTTCCAAAGTAGACCAGGAGGGGGGAGGTCTGCCCTGGGACGGCGGGCACGCGCTTGAAGGCCTCCACCGTCTCGCGCGTGCGCAGCGACCCCTGCGGCGACCGCGCCGCGGTCTCGGCAGCCTCGCGGTACTGCCCCGCTGCGTACTGCCGCTGGAAGGACTGCACCACCAGGCCCTCCGCGCCAGGCAGGTTGCCGCGCTGGGCCAGGGCCAGCGCCAGCTCCACATTCTGCAGCTGCCCCGCGATGAAGGGGATGATGGCGTCCGGCGCGGGGCCGCCCGCCAGCACCTGCGGGCGTGCGTCAGGGGGGAGGGGGGAGTGGTTTGAGGGAGTCTGAGGGTGTACGCAGGTGCTGTATCTGCTCCATGGTACTGAAGCGATTCCCATTCTGGCGGCCACCCCTTCATCTGGAACACTCTTCCTCTCAGACCCCCACAACACACACCTGCCCGCGGCGGTTGATGGCGACGAAGCCGCCGGTGGAGGGCGCGGGCGCAGCGATGAAGAAGGGGTCGGCCGAGATGCGGGTGCGGAAGATGGCGGTGGCCGTCTCCAGGTCGTAGACGAAGAGCAGGCCGAGCTTGGTGACGACGTAGACCAGGCCGTACTTGTCCCCGATCTGCATGGACACGGGGAAGTCGTCGGCGAACTCCGGGGGGAAGAAGAGCTCCGCGCTGCGCTTGAGGCTGGTCTTCCCGGGCAGGCCCAGCTCGATGACGTGGAGCTTGGAGGTCACCGCCCCCCCCGCCGCCGCCGTCTTCTGGGCAAAGGCGATGACCGGCACCGGGTCGGCGCGGCCGGGCAGGGCCAGGCTGGCGAAGGCCGCGGCGTGGGCCTCCAGCGCCTGGCTCCGTGCCTGGTCCACGCTGTACAGCTGCATGAAGCCCTTGACCAGGGCGGGGCGGTCGGGCGCGCCCGGCGCGATGCCCACCAGCACGCACCACCTCCCCGCCGCGTCCACGCGGTAGGTGATGATCTGGGTGCCCTCCAGGTTGGCCGCGCGATCGAAGACCTTGGCAGGCGGCGCGTCCCCCTCCAGGTCCCAGTGGTAGACCGAGGTGGCGGTGACCAGGCCCAGGCGGCCCGGGCTCACCCACTTCCAGAACACAACCGACTGCGGGAACTGCACGCTCTTCAGCTTGGCCTTGGCCGCCAGGTCGAAGATCTGCAGGTTGTCCCCCGTCACGCCGGGCACCGCGGCCTTCAAAGCGATGATCTGGGAGCCGGGGTTCATCAGCGCCGAGTCGGCGGTGATGGGGCGGCGCTGGGGCGAGCTGGGGTTGCTCAGGTCGATGATCACCTGCGCAGGGAAGAGGAGTGGAGGCTAAGGGAGGAGGGGTGGGAAGGGATGTTGCACGCTGGATAAGGGCAAGGGCCTGCCAGCGAGGGTGAGGATGGGAAGGGATCCAGACCCGAGGAGAGGAGTGTGCGAGGGTAAGAGGGGTACCCGGGCAGCTCCCATGGTCTCATGAGACTGCTGACGCTGGCTGAAGGGACTATAGCTCCACGGCTCACGCAGCGCAGGCACTGGCCGATTGGATGGCGGGGCACCATACTGGAGGGCGGCCTGAAACATTCGAGGGTCAAATGGGCCACCAGCGTGCTCCAGAAGCCCCAGTTCGAGGCATGCCGTAGCACATCGAAGACCCTGCTGTGTCAGGTGAATTTCCCTCCCTTACCACCCACACCCACGCTCCCTACCAGCTGATTAGTGGGGGAGGTCTCCCGCACGCAAATGTACTTCTCCGACTCCAGCGTGACGTTGGTGAAGGTGATGTTGGCATTTTGGATGCCCAGGTTTTGGAGCTGCGGGTTGGTGGAGAAGGGGGTTGAGTGTCTCGGGTCCTGGGAGCGAGTCAACCAACGCCTGGAGGAGGACCCTGCCCCGAGGGCCCCACGTACGGAGAGAATCTCTCGGACGTTGATCGGGGCAGCCCCTGTCGCCATGGCGATACTCTCCACTACTCAGATCCGGTCCAAACTTGGGGCCGTTCAGGCCAGCATACGACGGGGCCCAACCGCGATCACCGGGGAGCTGCCTTCCTTGAGATGGCAATTACGTGTCAACGGGCCAGGAGCACGGTGACAATGTCTCAACCAAGTGACATTCTTCCTGCCACCTGCTGAGGGCTGGTTGGTTGGGTCACGCCCAATGCGCGTGAGACTGAGATCGCGAGTCTTGCTCCGGTACTGCGCGTGAGTCAGTACCCGATTTCCCCGATCTCGCTGTTCACATGCAAATGGCTTTCAACTGGCACAGTCCCCTCCCGAGTGGGCACAGCGATGCACAAAGACCTGTAAATAAAGTGTAGACACTGGAGAAAGCATTGCGATTCGGCTGTCGATCCCTCCAACCGCTCAGCAACGATCTCAAGGCTTGGCTGGCTACGGACTCGAGTGCAAGGGGGAACCGGCTGCTCAGCAACGCCACACATGAATGCCCCAAAACCTCCTTCGAGGGGTTCTATTCCCGATGAAGGCTCTTTCTCAGCCCGCAGCGCGGCAGTCCAAGCATTGGAGAAATCTCTTCATACCTCCTCCAATGGAAACAGCGCATCCGATGCACGCCGCGTCGCCGTCGCGATCCCCACGGAGGATGGCACCAATTTTGAGCTCCCAAGCTCCGCCGAGGCCCCGCAGCTGCCAGTATGTGCCACCAGTGCCGCTTAGAGAGAAATATGGGGGGGGGGGGGGGAAGGTCAGGCGCACGCCTTGAGATCACCTTCTCGCCCGGGTCTCGCTATTCCTGCATGCAGTGGTAGCCTGGACCTCTCATCACAGGTGGCATCTGTGATATAGGCAGGCCAGCACATCCGTTCTACCCACCACTCGCTGCTCTGGGCCCCTCCCATGCAGGTAACTCCAGTAACCATGGTGCCTTGCGATGCCGGCGCGGGCAGCAACCGCCTCATCGCCGTCAACATGGACTTTATCGCCTATGGCCTCAAGCCGGGGCACATCAGGGTGATCCACCGCTCCACGGGCGGCAGGGCCCTGCTCAAGGGCCACACCGGTCTCATCACCAGCCTCAGGTGGGTTGGGGAGGGGTCCTGGAGCCGATGCCGTCCTGTGAGGCAGGAAGGACCTCTGCCAAGTCGCAGAGTCCCTTCCTTGCTTCTCAACCTTCACATGCCCACCATCAGCCTCATGCATGCTCACCACCTCCCAGGTTCAATTGCTCGGACTCCAGCGTCCTGGCCAGCGGCGGCCCCGACGGCAAGCTCATCGTCTGGCGGCTGGCGGCCGACGCCCAGGGCACGGTCAGCGTGGACAGGGTGCATGCCGGCACGCGCGGCCTGGCACCAGGCGTGGTCAGCGTGGCCTGGCTCAGCCGGGACCGCGTCATCGCCTGGTCCAGGGGCACCCGCAAGGTCACGCTCGGGTATGCGGGCCACTCGGCTCCCTTCCACATCTATTCCCTCAGGCGCCGCTCCGAAGGTGAGGAAGGAGTGAAGGGGTTTGGGTTTTGGTTGGGGGGGGGGGGGATTTGGCTCATGGGTGCGCTGCTGGAGTCGGGGGGGAAGGGTCGCTGGGTGTTACCACGAGCGGCTCCTGAGGAGCCATGACTCCTGGCAACAGGAATGTGAGACGGATTGCTGGCCAAGGGCCGTCCTGCGGTACACGTCCCATGCACAGCATGTCCAGCCACCTCTCGCACTCACACACACATACACACACACACCTGCTCGCTTGAACCCAAAGATGTGCGGGACCTGGTGCTGTCCTCCGCCGCGCTGAGCCTGGCGCCCGGCCGCGACGACACCGAGTGCCTGCTGGGCCTGGAGGACGGCAGCGTCTACTTCTGGAGCATGGACCACGGCCCCGAGCAGGTCAACTCCGCGGCGCGCGTCTGGCTGGCCGAAGCCCCCGTCTCCGGCCTGGAGTGGCTGCCGGCGGCGCGCGGCGGGCGCCCCGGCACCACCGCGCCGCCCGTGGCCGCCGCGGTCCTGGGCGGCGGCGCCGAGGTCCGGCTCCTGACCTTCGACCCCCGCGCGCCGCTGCACAGCGGCGCGCCCCTGGGCCCCCGTCTCTCGCTTGACCCCGGGTCGGCGCCGTACCACCTGGTGGCGGTGCGTGGCGCCGACCTGCTCCTGCTGGCGGGGAGCCGGGAGCTGGTGGCGCTGCGCCTGGGGCCCGCACCCGGCACCGGCGCGGGCCCGCGCATCGTCGCCGGCGCGCGCTTCGGCCTGTCCCAGCCCGTGCTGAGCGCCGACGCGCTGGCGCTGGACGGGCCGCCGCGCGTGGAGGTCGCGGCGGTGCAGCGCACGGCGGTGCAGCAGTACACCCTGGACCTGGACCTGCTGCGCCTGCCAGAGGCCGCTGCGGGGGGTCGCCCTGAAGTCCCCGCCGGCACCGCCCCCGCGGCGGGGGCCACGGCGACGCAGGATGCCCCCCGCCCACGGTCGTCGGCGGGGAGCCTGCCGGCGGACTCGCCCTCGCCGGCCTCCTCCGGCCCGGCCTCCATGCAGGCTTCGGCGACGGGCACATCGTCCGCATCGGGGGTGGGGGTCGGAGGCAGCATCGGAGTGGAGGGTGCCGAGGAGGAGGAGGAGGAGGGCGAGATCACGGTGAGCTGACTGGAGGGCTCGGAGTGGAGTGATGGGGAGGGCCCCGGGGGTGTGCCTGGCTGGCCGTCACGGCGGCACCGTAGCGGCTGTATCCCATTCGTCACCCTCATCCACCCCGTGCCCCCGCCCTCAACCCCCCCCCCCCTTCCCCCAGTCGGAGTGCCCCAGCCCTCCCTCCAGCCCTGTGGGCGGCCAGGCCGTCCAGGTTCCAGTCCCCATCCTGTTGCCCGCCGGCGCGGACGCCACCGCCTCGTTCGCAGATGCCGCCGCCTCGATTGCAGGTGCCACTGCCTCCTCCGCCGGGCCCGACGCCCGCGAGCCCCCCGCCGACAGCCA